AGTGGGGGCCCAGATAGTATCTCGGCTCCCCTCCAATTTCTTGTAATCATTTTGATTCCATAATAATAATAATAATAATAATAATAATAATAATAATAATAATAATATAATAATAATAATAACAACAACAACAACAACAACAATAATAATACTAATAATAATAATAATAATAATAATGTATCAAAAAATATCAAAAATAAAAATTAAAAAAATATTTAAAATTATATCGACTAATTAACGATTGTTTTCAACGGTATTTAGTATTTACCGCTCTATATATACAACTACACATCATTTATGAACACACACTACAAACTTTTAAACAACATTTTTTTTTCAAAAGAAAAAAAATATTCAAAATATTATTTACAATTACTATTTTACTACTTATTTTGTACGCTTTGCAAATTTTTACGATATTATATCATTATTCTATCACTATATTTCATGTGTTAGGTCCTTGTCTCATGTGTTTCCTATTACTCAGTCTGATTGACTTAAATATTTTGGTGTGGAGTACAATAAAAATATTGTTAATAATTATCTTTCAAAATCATTATAATCCGTTATAGTTCATACTTACATGTGAAGTGGAATAGAAAAAATATATTTTACAAGGAATCTAAGAGCATATTACTTGTTGCAAACATTTACAACACCCAACTCAAGTTAAACGGGCCACACTCATACTGAAAGTGCCCAAAGCCACGACACTCCTTGCATTGATCCTTTTCAACTCGTTGTGAGTCAGGTTTTGAGAGTGACGCATTATTCTTCTTGTCTTGAAACATATTTTTGCTAGAACTGTTGCCTTTCTTCCCAGAGAACTTATTCTTGTACAGCCTTTGACTCATCTTTCCATAGTTTCTCGCAATTAGAGCAAGAGCTTCTTTCAGCTCGCTATCGTCAGCCAAAGGACCTTCATCGTCATCACGCTCTTCTTTTTCTTCAACTACAGCAGCTTTGAGAGCTAGACCCTTGCTTTTAACTTTGTCATAATTGTTGTTGATTTTAAACGTCCTGAGCTCTCCGAGGAGTTCATCAACATCCATAGATACAACTCTTTGGAAACTATCAAGAGCAGTATTTTTTTCTCTGAACCTGGAAGCAACAGTTTTCATAATCTTTTGAACCTGACGCTTCTACAAAATTTCTTCTCCAAGCATCGCACTTTGATTCACCAGATCACAGAATCGGACATAGTATATGTCAATTGTTTCTTCATCCCGCATTCTGATTTCATCAAATTCAAGAGTCACTCGTTGAATTCTGGACGCTTTGACAGCCGTTGAACCTTCAAATTGACGCTGTAAGACCCGTCAAGCATCTTTCACAGTCTTGCATTGAACTATCATCTTGTGTCTTGTCTGATCCATTGCCATCATAATCGCATACAAGGCACGATAGTTGGCTTCTTCTTGAAGCTTCTCAGCATCTGTCCAGTTGTCTTTAGGTTTAGGAACCGTAGCTGCCGTATCTCCTTTTCCTTGATCAGGTGTTTGTGCCATGACTGGATGCACCCATCCGTTTTCAACACTTTCCCACACACCTTTTCCAAGCAATCTTAGGAAAATCGTCATCATAGACTTCCAATACGAGTAATTAAAACCGTTCAATTGCGGAGGCCTAGACATCGATCCACTTTCTTGATTCATGATTGCCTAGTAACACATGTCCTTAGATCTTTCGTAATGTAAACACAAACCCACTCTGGTGTGAATTGAATTTGATACTCGTACACCAAGTATCTAGAGTTGCGTATAAATTATTAAAACAAAACTAAGCGAAGATTCAACAATTTCGGAAGCAGTTTGCACTTAAAATTGAACCTTCAGGAGAGCGTCTCACTCTCTTTCAGATCTCTTTCATTAATGCGAACAACACACACACACACTCTCCAAGGGTTTACATTATAGACTCCCTCCCTCTACACTATTTGAACAGTTATTCACACAACTACTTATCTGACCACAACTCCCTTGTAGATTTTCTAGTTCGAATCCCTCAAACTATTTCAGAATGAACCTCCGAACACTCTGTTGTAAACTCACTCAAGATAAAAATATATCGACTCTCGCTCACTATTCTCAAAGAAATAAAAATTAGTCATTTTGATTGACTTAAATATTTTGGTGTGGAGTAAAATAAGAATATTGTTAATAATTATCTTTCAAAATCATTATAATCCGTTACAGTTCATACTTACATGTGAAGTGGAACAACAAAAATGTAATATACAAGGAATCTAAGAGCACATTACTTGTTGCAAACATTTACAACACCCAACTCAAGTTAAACGGGCCAGCCCTAGCGGGTTTCGGGCTAGCTCTAACGGGCTTCGGTTTAAACGGTCCAAGCTAAAAAAATCTCCGATTTAAATGGGCTACCAATAAAAAGCCCTAATCTTTTTTTTTCGGGCTAAACGGGCCGGCCCGTCGGGTCAAGGACCGTTTAACATCTCTAGACGTGGCCAATGCCTGGGTAAGTTCACAGCCCGGCCCAGCCCACTGAGTCGGCGGGCCTCAAATTTTGGGCCCGTAACCGGTCCGCCTATATCTAAGGGCACCAGTCTGACTAATGGACCGCCGGTTTAAAAAAACCAACGGGTCAAAAAGAGTACAACACGACCCGTAATAGGCTCTTGAGGAGTTCTAGGCCAATTCACGGGTCGGACTAACCCGTGGCCATGTCTAACCGAAAAGGCTGGCATTTTATGCACAAAATAATCTTTTGGTTTTGTAATTTAATTGCTAATTTTACTACCAAACTATATTTATTTTACTTCAAATTTTAAATATTTCACAACTTTTTGTGTTGGGAAAAATACGTTGAACTTTCCATGAAGTCGGATCTATAAAACTGAAATAAAAGCAAAAAAATTGGACACACCAAATTGATAACGGAGTTCGGCCAATAATGCATACGTCTCTGGACTACTGCAGATATTTTATTAGGAGAAAAGAAATGCACTTGTATTTACAAAACACTCTCAAACTCACTCATAGGTCACAACCCAAATACACACACAAGCTAAAATATTGTGCTTATTCACTCTCCTTATTTTTCTTTTTGTGTGTTGTTATTTTTGGTGTTCATTATAATTCTTCTATTTATACAGGGGAAATGCAATGCGAACATTGCACTCCAAATTCTCCAAAGGCTACTGCCTCTTTTTTTCTTTTCTTTTTTTTTCTGTTTTTGCTGCTTGTCAGAGAAAGAGGGCTACTTTATTTTCAATATTGGTGGCTAACATTTTGTTCTATTAATTAGTATATAGTTAATTAATTTACTTATATATTATGATACTTTGATTTTGTTTATAATTAAGTATTTAATATAGTGGTTGGACAAAAACTCTTGTCAGTATCTGATTTAATGCCACATATTTAGGGCTCGTTTATTTCTTATGATAGGATAGGATATTGCTCCTTATCCTTAAGAAATACTTCATTTACTTTCAAGTATTAAGGCCCGAAGGATAAGATTCGGCCCGGGATTGGAGGGGGCTTTATCCTTCATCCGCGTGATTCAATCATCCTCCCTCATAGGCCTGGATATAATAATCCATGATACCTAAATTTACCAATCTATCCCCAAAAAGTATTTTTGTGGTCAAAAATACACTTAGCATTGTACGTAATTTTGAAATATTACCACAATATAAGGCTTTGTGATGGAGACTTTTTTTTTCCCAAAGAAGCAATACAAACCCTAGCTGCTCTCAAGGACCATGGTAAGTCCTCTTTATCTGTATATCACTCTACTTCATCCTGACTTTCGATAGTGTTAATTTTTTTTACATTTGGCCCTCGTGTAGATCCGCCTTGAGAAGATGAAAGTGTATTTTCGTCAGTAACCGTCGAGTTGTACCCGTATTGCAACAGGCTACCAGAGAAGTTGTTGTAACTATTACTACTTACAGGCCGTGTAAATCGTCCTATATATACGAATTTAAAAACCTTTTTACACCTTAGGGATTCCCGTGGTTGTTGTTTATATATTTTGAATGAAGTTGTACA